ACACACACACACACACACACACACACACACACACACACACACACAGTGACTGTTCAAAATAATTTTTTTAAGGCTGATAGCAACATGTTTTATAAAAAATAATTTTAATAAACTCGTTTAATTTAATTTGAAAGCTTTCATGGTTTTCATTAATTATTCATGTATTTCCTCCCTTCTTTCTGTTGTTCCAGATTTTTGATCTTATTGAATAAAATGTCTCTGAAGCATTAGAGTAGTGCACCGGATGCCGAACAAATGAATGGAATCAGACAGATTGTGGGAACGTGGGTACTGATGGTTAAAAATATACTGCGTAATTCAAAAGTCTTCAAATCAAATTCAGCAAAGGTTATTTGTTCTGTCCTCATAATTTTCCACTACTGTTGCACGGCAACAAAAATGCTAACTGATTACCAGTACAGCACACAGACTGTATACCAAAGATGGGCGTAGTCACTGTGACATCACCTTTCGCTATCTCGGTCTTTTGAATTTGGACATGATGACAAAATGCTGAATCTGAGTGAGAATAGAGGGACACCACACTCATAGGGTAACACGCTGTCATGGTCCGGGTTAGTGCGGCTCCGCCCCACGTGCTGGTGATTCCACCTCGGGGCGGAGCCGCCGCGCCTCCTTGTCATCACCTCAACTGCGAGTAATCAGGTTGCGGGCTTTTTATGACCAGCGTCCTCATGCACTCCCCGCCAGAACATCTACTAAATCACTATCTCCTGGACGTCAGTGTTTTCTACTGTCACAGCTGCTGTTTATCCGCTGGTCAGCTCGCAGCTTCTCCATAACTCTTTACCTGCCTGCCCCCCCCGCTTGGCCTCGGAAATTAACGGAGCTTCTTCCTGGACTCACCTGTTCTCGCACCCGGACCACTACCCCCCCTTCCACGCTTTGTTTTCGCCTGCATCCAATGACTGTAAGATCTCTTTTCCCTGCCTTCATCTCACGGTTCCTGCTCCGGATGTTACCCGGTGTCAGGTTCCCCCCTCCGGTCCACGACAGCCCCAAGACTCCCTCACGGACCCCACTCCCCTGGTAACCCAGTGATAACTCAGCATTCCACTTTTAGTTTGGATAGTTCAGTCCGTCAGTTTGTGGTGTCTCTCTGTGTGTGACTTTAAAGCACCTGAATTCTGCCCATAGATTAACAGCATATTTCTGTTCTTAGTATCTTCATGAAAGAAGAAGTAGTATTGCGTTCATATTGCGGCTGAGTGCCCGCTCACAGTATTTATCCCTTCAAGGAGTTAAGTTGTTTTTGTTTCAGCGAGGCAATGCTAATTCTGCCTCCTGTAACGTATTAAATATTCTGTCTTGCCTTTCTTAGTTCATAGTAGATGTGTTTAGATGTGTTCAGCATCCTTGTGCATTTAGTCTTGCTCTTTGAATTCTGTAATAAAGTTAACTTTGCTCACAGTTCCTGCGTACCTGAGTGGTGTCCGCATCCGAGTCCATTTCCTTGTGTTCGGCTGCTTGGCCGTGACACACGCTTGTTAATCACATATTCAGCTTTATTTATTGTTCTGAGTTAAATCCAATGAGGGCTGTCAAATAAATGCTCTTTATGCTGCAAAGAGAACTTATCAGTTGCAGTCTATCATGAATACTAATGAGATGTTAACAGGCCTTGGCAAGTTGAATGGCATTAAAGAACCTTCAGCACCACTCATTAAAAGACTGAAGTGAGTATATGTATATATTTGAGGGCATATGTACGTTTTTGACCGAGTGTGGATTAGAGAAACTCCAATCTAATTTTCATGCCCGTGTGTGCAAACTTCTTACCACAACTGTATATAAAGACTCTACATGCCACCGCAACCCAGGGACACACAGAGGTGTTTACCAGCACAGTATTTGTATATAAGGTGTGCAGATACTGTGCATACCTTACAATGGTAAATTTCAAAACTATTTTCCAGTATAGGAGCAGAAAACGTACATGAAATATAAATAAATATGGGAATGAGTGATAACAGCTCCTCATGCATTATGTGAAAG